CTCCCGCCGCCTCCCGCAGCGCCGCCGGGCCCTGGCGGACCCCTCAGGGCTGCGGCCGCCTGCGGAGCTCCCTGCCGGTGCCGCTCGGTTCCCCCCGTGCTGGCGGGCGGCAAGGCGGGGGGGTCCGAGGGGGCTTGGGAGGGCGAACCGCCCTCAGGGGTGCCCGGGGGAAGGGAGGAGGGAGGGCGGCGGCGGCCCCGCCGACAGAGAGGCCTCCATCCGGCCGGCTCAGCCCCATCGCCGTCCCACAGAGCTCGGCCACGGCGGTGCGGCCCAACAGGCGTCTGCGGCCCGGGGGGGCCTCCAGGGGCCCGGGGTCCGGCCACGACCGCTGCCCGGCCACGGGTGGTGGGATGTCTTCTCCCCCCCGGGAGCTGGGCGTCCCTCGCAGCCGGTGTCCGCCTCGGGCACAAACTTCTCCTTGGTCAGTGGGCTACACACCTTAACCCAAAAACATCGCTCCTGGCTTCAGCACTCCTTGGGAGAGCTGAAATTTTTTTTGGCAATGTTGTGGGGTTTTTTTATTTTCCTTTAAGGATGACCTAAAGTAGTGCCTTCTCGTTCCCATCCCAACTGTCTTTGGAGAAGCATCTTAAATGTTGGCATTCATGAAGCATCGATGTTACTGCCTCCAGATCAATGAATGCTTTAAACAACTGAAAGTGGGCCGATTTAGATTAAAGGAAGAAATTCTTTACTGTGAGGGTGGTGAGGCACTGGAACAGGTTGCCCAGAGAAGCTGTGGATGCCCCATCCCTGGAGGTGTTCAAGGCCAGGCTGGATGGGGCTTTGAGCAACCTGGTCTGGTGGGAGGTGTCCCTGCCCATGGCAGGGGGGTTGGAACTTGATGATCTTTGAGGTCCTTTCTAACCCAAACCATTCTGTAAGTCTGTGATTCTAGTTGAAGCTCCTTGAGCCATTTTGACTGTTAGAACAAGCCTGATCTTTTGACGTCAGCGTGATGTGTTTTTTATCAAAGTTGTTGATGCACATGCACAAGTTCACCTGGTAGATCTGTCAAAAAGAGTGCTTGGAGAGAGCCATGCCTGGGCCAGGATCAATTATCTCTTCACTTTGAATTCCTGGGAGGGTCAGCTGTGGTCCTTTAGCTTCTGTTCTCACTCAACATCTTCTAGAGCAGCTGGCTTCAGAAACAAAAATGAGGGAACAACTAACAATAACCCTTTTTTCTCTTTTTGTCCAAGTTTCCACAGCATGTATGAAGTAAAGCTCTTCTTTCAGCCACAAAATATTTCTTGGAAATGAGTGAATATTCCTGAGGTATTTAAATAAATGAAATTTTGCTGACTCACTTTTAGCAATCGAAATAGCTTCTACGGTGGGATTTGAATGAGGAAATGTGAGCAGATGGTTGACCTTGGGGGAGATGCTGCATCTGAATCAAGAGTACATGAAAAAGGAGAAGGAGTATGCACATGGTGACTGAGACAAGTTTAATTTTTGCAGTATTACTTCCTGCCTATTAGGCTGTTAACCTGCCTCTTCCAAAATTACTGGTATTAGTAAACATGGGGAAAAAAAAAAAAAAGACAAATCCGCACTTTGGATACAAAGACATAAAACCCACTACTGACCTAAAGATGGAAGATGTTACATCCTCTTCAAAGGACAGGAAGAAATTATAGGAAAAAACTTCAAGATTTCTAAAGAGCATTCAAGTAAGGAGTAATGAATGCTTTCATCAACATGATTGGATCAAATCATTTTAAGTGGCAAAGTTATTAATGGATTGCACTGGTTATCAGGAAAACTGTTGCTGAATTTGTATCTACTCCACTACTGAAATATACAGCTTTTTGAAAGATTAGACATGTTGATCTCTTCCAGTCTGTAAAGCTTTGGGTGTAGCTCAGAGCAAAGTGAAACAAATACCTGTGAAACCCTGTCATTTTAAAATGTATTATTATGTGTAGTAATACCTAAAGTATCTGGTATCTCTCAGTAATGTTTCCTACTTTACTAGAGAGCTGTAAACATCCCTTTATGCACTTACTAGAAACTCGTTGGCCTTTGCTTCCACAAGTAATTAGACCTTTTGTATCTTCTTCCTTTTTTTTAATGCTCAAAGTAAGACTCTTCATAATCTGGATTTTAAAACCATACATATTCTGCTTTATAAAAAACAGAAAAACAGTCCCCTCTAACATGTCTCACACTAATCATGTTTGAAGAGGTTTGTCTCTGTTTCTAATGCACTGTAACTGCTAAAATAGCAGGCTTATAATCTGTCACTGGGTCTCTATGAACTTGTGGGAATGCAGATTTAAATAATTGGGAGGGAAGCAGGGTAGAAGAGGAAGCTTTTTTGGGACAAAGTAGGAAACATTTCTGCAGCAACCCAACCCGAGGAACATTTATGTGGAAGCTTTGACTTTAAAAGGGAGCTTTTTGGTGGTTTGACACTTCAGCATTTGTCTATGTGTCTGCTTGAGAAGAGTTAATAAAAAACAGAGCAAACTCTTCGCTTATCTTGATTGAAGAGCAGCTTACTGTGGTTTAGATTGAACCTGCCATTTTACTAATTTTAACTGAATTAAAAACAATGGCAGCCTGTAAACCAAAATCACGACATCCATACAAACTTTTGTTCCTATTTGAAAAGAGTGAAAAAATAAAAATCACATTGTTGGTCAAACTACTGAAATCCCTACACATGAACAAGCCTGAGCTGTCAAAGAAAGTGGATTCCAGGAATTAAACACTTTAATAGCTTAAGAGAGACCAGGTACAACGAAAATGAAAGGCAGTGCCAAGATACTGAAAAATACCATCTTAGCTCTTTTATTCACAGCTATGCTGGGCTCACTGAAGATGCCATGAAGAGAAGGAAAATTGAAATCGTACTATCTGTTCATCGTGTATTGTGTTCTTTCCAGTCTGCAGCTATAACAGCATGGATGAATAGTGACACCTCTGCTTCTATGGAAAAGAAAAACAGAGTAATTTAGCCAGTAGGAATGTCACTTCAGCACTCAAAATTAATTTCGCTGTTAAAAAAAGCTTTCCATTGTTTTTAGTCTCTTAAAAATTAGCATTTTAATGGTAAACATTCACTGTTATACTTTGTCATTTTAACAGTCAGATACTTTGCCTTTTCATATGTCCTTGGCATCTATTTTAATCATGTGAGTAACAAAAGAGTAACAGGATCTTTTTCTCCAAATGACATGAAATAGATTCCATTCTGAAAGGTAGCAGAAAAAATGGCTTAATGGGGCATTGTCTATCTGTATTTTTCCTATGATATCTGATTTATTTAGAGGCTGCTCTAAATCTGTTGTTAATGATTTCAAAATGAGCCTTTGAACAGAAGAATTACTGTTGTTTAAATATTTGAAGTTTTTCAGTGGATTCTGCTTCTGAGGTTTGGTCTCTTCCTCCTTCTTATTGCCCATTCCTATTAATAGAAGTTTTTCAGAACAAACCCTGGCTGCCATCCCATGTTTGCAGCTCTCATGGCTTTAAATGACGCCATCAGTAACATCTGGGCAGCAAAGCCCTTCCAGTTGTTTGCAGCTGAGTTCCTATTATCTTCTTCTTACCTGAGAAGGCAGTGGATCTACGTTACTTTCAACTTCATTACTCCTCATGGCTAACAGATGTGAAAAGTCATTTTTATCTGTAAGACAAGCACATAAAGCCCTAAAGAGTCAAAGTAAGTAGGCTGATTGAATGAGAAGTGATCATTTTTAAGTGACCGTGTGGATGAATAGAAGAGGTGACAAGTTACTCCTGTGGCCATTTCGTACTTCATCTGGCCACTTGGACAATCCCTCCTTGCATTCATTAAGCAACCTCTACTGAGCAGTATTCATCCTGTCAAAGCATCTTACAAAATTTCTGACTGGACAGAAAAAAAGGATTGTAGGAATAGATTAAATAGTGTTTTCTTCATTTTATGGGAAAGAGTATGTCTGTTTCTGCTTTTCAAGCAAACAAACATATTTGTTATTCTCTACTAAGAAAATCTAAGCATCCTTACTGGTGCTGATACTGAATCTGAGAGGGAGCCATATTTGTTCTGGGCAGCTGACAAATGTCAGGATGTTAATGTTACCCACACTCTTTGTTGTTGTGAACTGTAGAGACTGTGAACATGATGGATTAATATAAACATATGTTTTTAGTTGCATACTTTATAACCAAAGCAGAGACATTTCAGTAATATACAGAGGAACCAAGGGAGTTTATATGTCTTAATGCAAATAAAAATCATCTGAAATGCATACTACATCTACTATTAGAAAAGAGTAAAATAATTAAAGTGTATGGCAAGACACTTTGTTATAGCTAACCAAATTCTGGAAACTTGAAATAAAGAGGCTAAGAGTAGAATCATAATGTTTGTATCCACTCCTCAGGTGGAAATCAATTTCACCATAGCTACTCCTCTCTGAAGAGTATTTCTCAGGTTTCTGGAAGAAGGTTTGTTTTCTTTTGTTTGTGTTTTTTTTTTCTTTTCTGAGTTTGACATGTGTAGTCATGCTGTGTCTCACCTAAGACATTTGTTTAAAAACACAGCAGTGGCTACTCTTTCACATGGTTAAAAACAAACAAGTTTGGTTCTGTTTGGATTACTGCAAAGTCTCTAATGGCATTACCAAGAGCAGCGATGGCAGAACATAAAAAGCCCTATTTTCTAGCCATTGTTATAAGATCACAGCAAAGTATGCAACTTCAGTACAGGGAAGGATGAGAGAGAGGTTGCTTTTTATTTCTAAACAGACCTGACAATGTTTTAAAAATGTTCTATAGAAGCTAATGACTCTGTGACTTGAAGGCCCTGCGTTTAGCTTGGTAAAGAACTTGCAGAGAAAGCATGATTCAAGCTTTTGAATTTCAGCACATTGTCAAGGTGAAAACCTGCTTTTAGCAAAAAAGAGGAGCTAAATGAACAAGTTTAGTGGTGAAGTCACCACAGGTAATACAAAAGCAAGCCCCGGTACTGACTATAATCCATGTACTGTAC